TACAGTATACTTTTTATCAGTATACTTCTTATGTAGTATACTGTTCAAGCAAATGTTAAATTTGAGTTTTTTGTTCGCAAATTTTTTAGAACATTTTTCAGTTTAAATTACTGTTCTATTAATTTTTGTGAATTTTAAAATAATTATGTCAATTCGACCGTCAGAAATGTTTTTTTAAATTCATACAGTTTTTTGTTTCAAATTCGAATGTTTAAGGAAGAAAGTTTGTATCTAACATAAATATTTTAGGGAAAGATTCTTCTACGACGTTGAAATCTCTGAGTTCCGACGGAGCAAAATGTTCATTATCATCTTCAAGATTCCTCATTTTCTCTTCTTCCGTGAGTTTATTCACAATTTCATTAGGGTTTCCATTTTTTCGGATCATTTTGGACCCGTAAAGGCCTTACACAATGATTCCTAAAGCTGTTAAGAATATTAAACCAGCAAAAACTTTTGTAAATGAACGGCGGACATAGATTCAGCCTGCTTAAAAACAGTCTCATAAATTTTTAAGGCAGGGTTGACTTTGAAGTGTCGCAACGCCCTAAATTTGATTTTACCGCTGTATAGCTCAATTATGCTTTTCTGTAGCCCTTTACATGTACATTTTAGCACTGTCAAGCACTTGTTGTTAGCTTTGGTACTTTAGAAGTAATAGGCAAAATTCTCAACAATTTAAGCTTGAGAGCGTGAGACCATTGAATTGCAGTAGGCGGAACCCTTCTTAACCCAATAAAGAATAAATCCACCGCCGAGATGCTTTACAGAGCTGGGTGTGACCCGCTGAAAAATATTTTGCGGGACATCATTCCACATGGAATAATTTTTCCGTAAACTTACTCCAACTGTCATTCTTAACTTTGTGTACTTTTTAAGGGACAAGGTACTAATGCAAGGAAAGTTAATTGCGGTCGCGTATGCTCTGCGTACATATTGAAACCAGTTCTCTCATGGGAGGACTTTGTAAACAAGAATAGATGCATTTAATTTTGATAATTTTGAAAATTCACATAACAGTTTCCTATGACCAGAAAATTTCATAGATTATTTTTGTGAAAATGGATTTCATTTCAGGCTGTGACATCCGTCTTGTGTTTACTTTTCCGCCCAAAGACAGTACACTGCAGTTCAAAAAATGTGTACACCTCTGAAATAACTTTCCTTGCATTAGTACCTTGCTAAGGGGTAGATTTATTTGAAAATCATTTAAGGGTTTACCATTGTTAAGGGTTTATAATTTCTTAGAACTTTAGAGAAGGTTCCCTGGGGCCTTCACGGGTCCAAATTGATCTGGACAAAAAATACCTACTTTTCTCAAACATTTTCTGAAATCAACATTTTTATTTTTTTTTCAGACGTTCTTCCGTTAGTGATTTTTACAGTTTTCAATATCCTGATTGTTTGGCAGAAATCAGATAGAATAGATCTAGAGCAAACTGCGGACTCAGAACAAACTGCAAACCAGCTCTTAGAGCAAACGGAACATCAGAACACAGAGCACAGGAGACAGCAAATGACAGAACAAAACTACGGGTGAGAAAAATCGTAATAATTGTAATCGTCAGAAATTAAGAGGTTCAGGTCGTCTTTAAAGCCTCTTCCTGCGTGTGTAACTCTGTAGCATATTTGTTAATTGTATAACTGTTTAGGTTTCCAAGAAGACTGGTGAGGCTAGCCCCTAACCTACTGATTGTAGGATTCCATATTCCAAGGACAATGCTCACTGCTTACGAGATCATAGTTCATTTGGTCAGTATGCATGTATATAGAAAAAAAGGGATTGTGTCCTTTTTTTGGAAAATATACTTATTATCCTAATTTTTAGATTTCAAGCTTGGTAAATTCATTTTTATAAGAAATTACTTGCATTTAATTTTGTGTCATTAAACCATTAACAAAAACATATTTTAGTCATTAAATTAATTTTACAAATGTATGATACAAATAAAATGAATTTGAAATTATTGAAACTAATTTTATCTACAAATGTTTAGGACAGTGTCATTTATCAATAAAAGTAAAAAAGAAGAATATACCACTCTTTCATGGTTCTTAGTGTAAAGTATTTTTTTTCGAAAATATCTTTGAAAGATTTATGACTTTAAGTTAGAACTTTGAAATTGAATTTATCTGAAATGAAATATTTCTAAGAGTTTCAAATTAAGATTAAAGTCAAGAAACTAAATGAATATCTAACTCTTCTAGAAATTAAATTTGTTACCCTTTGAATTAAAATTTTACCTCACTTCTTCTTCAAAAATTAACTAAATCAAAATGCCAAAAAATTTGAAATCTAACTCTGTTAGATAATTTTTATAAAATTGGCAACTTTGAAAACTGAGGTTTTAAATAACCAAAATTATAACTATTAGCAAAAGTATATTTTACTGTTATCAAAGCAGGAAAAAGGTTTCCATAACGAAGTGAACTAAACTGTTTTATCTAAATTGAAAAAGTTTTTTCTCCGAAAAGTTAGATGGAGAAGCATTCAAATGTATTAAGAATCAGGCGTTTTTTGTCTTTTCTGAAAAGCTTATAATTCAGACTTAAAAGCTTTTTAAAAGCATTTTAAATTGAATTTGAATATCTAAACTTCCCAAGAGGGTTTTGGATAGATAAAGCCTGCCCACGTACAGGGAAATCATATGACAAAATGATATATTTATTTAATTAGAACATTTGATTATTTGATTCTAAGATCTTTCCTTTGCGTTGGATTTTATGGAAGGAGGATTTTGGTTAATGTTAGGTATTTCTATAAATATTGACAAAAACCAGGTTATGGATGAGGAGGATAAAAACCTTGAACAGACCTGGATCCTTGATCTATCCCACACCCTTCTCATCCTGGGATCCTCAACAAATACAATGATTCTTCTTCTCCAGGTACTCAGCTTTTAGGGAAACATACTTCTCCAGGTAGATACTTATACAGGAAACACCTTCTCCAGGTCGATACTTTTACAGGACACACCTTCTCCAGGTAGATACTTTTACAGGACACACCTTCTCCAGGTAGATACTTTTACAGGAAACACCTTCTCCAGGTAGATACTTTTACAGGACACACCTTCTCCAGGTAGATACTTATACAGGAAACACCTTCTCCAGGTCGATACTTTTACAGGACACACCTACGTTTTAAAGAATTTTCTCCTTAAAGACGCAACAGATAGTATTAAGCTTTATAGTAGCGATCACTACACCCCCTTTAATTTTTCACAAACACTCCCTTTAAATATCTCAAAACTCAAAAGGAACTGGGTTTTGCATCAAACTCAAATTGTCTAATCCCTTTGGGATCTGACGTTGTAAATCTTGATTTTCCGAAAGGAATGATCATAAATTGATTTTCTGAAAGGATTGATCTTGAATTGATTTGCTGAAAGGATTGACCTTGAATTGATTTTCTGAAAGGAATGATCATAAATTGATTTGCTGAAAGGATTGAACTTGAATTGATTTGCCGATAAGATTGATCTTGAATTGATTTGCTGAAAGGAATAATCTTGAATTGATTTCTAAATATCTTGAATTGATTAGCTGAAAGGATTGATCTTAAATTGATTTGCTGAAAGGATTAACTTCAAACTTAGATTATTTGATTTAACATAATTCTTAGTTTGAATTATCAACGGTCTAGGGGTTGCAAAGATATAGGGATTGGAAAACTTTGAAATGAAAAAAGTGTTTAGGAAAAATTATTTATATTAAACTTGAATTTCCCATCTTTAAATTTTATTGTTAAAAAATCTAATGTTCACTCACCATCTGAAATCAAAATAGTTTTATTTGTTTTATAATAACTGAATTAGTTGGTTGCAAGATTGTTAAGAATTTTAACAAATATTGAAACTGAACATTTCTTAAATATCGTTTAGGGCAATCACGAGAAAAAGCTTCAAAATTCATTTAAAATGACTGCTAGTAAGATTTTTTTTGTGTGTGTAAAGAACGTAATATCAGTATATTTTTGTTTTCCAGTTTTCAGTTTGTCTAAAAGAGAGGGCCTGGGGGGGTGAGTGAATTGAAATTTAGTTCAGCTCTTGGAGATAAAACTAATTTTATGTCTTTTAGGAAAATTTTAGAATCGGTGATATAATAAATGTCTTCAAAACTCCAGGGTAAGCATATCTAAAAGAGTACGTTTAGTTAGGAGTTTATCCAGTTAAACACAAAACATAATTTGTTCCATTCATTTTTTCAGAAAACGATATGAAAATGTCAAGTGTTCTTAAACAATTTCCCCTGGATTAAATATAATTTGAAATCACGTGTATTCTCCAAAATAACCATGAACCAAAATTGAATTTTTCTTGGATTTTGGTTTAAAATTCTCTCCACATTCAATGTATATATATATGTCTATATATAATACCTCTTTTTACATTTCTATGTTTAATTGGAACGGCTGAAATCCATTTCCAGAAATGAGGAATAAATATTTGAAAATAATATTTTTCTTTTAAAGACCAAGAATCCCAGAGAGGACTGCAGAGTTTGAAACGTTTGATCTTCTCCAGGTAGTTTAATGTACTGCACCTTATCCGGGTAGTTTAATGTACTGCACCTTCTCCAAGGAGTTTAATGTACTGCACCTTCTCCAGGTAGTTTAATGTACTGAACCTTCTCCAGGTAGTTTGATGTACTGTACCTTTTCCAGGTAATTTGATGTACTGCACCTTTTCCAGGTAGTTTGATGTACTCTACCTTCTCCAGGTAGTTTAATGTACTCTACCTTCTCCGGGTAGTTTAAAGTACTGTACCTTCTCCAGGTAGTTTAATGTTTTTTCCGTGTTTAATGGACTGCGCCTTCTCCGATGATTTAAAGGAACCCTACTTTGAAAACAATTTGTTTATTGTTTATTTTTATAATTTGTTGACTTTAAATATTAACTATTAAATCTAATACAATCTTCTATATTTAGGTTTAATCCAAAGCTGATCAATGATTTCAATTATATCAATGACTTTAGTGAGGAGATTGTCAACGATTAGCAACGGCTTAATTCAAATCTTAATCTAATCAAGGATTTTGGAAATATCGTTGCCAATATATATTAACTTTTCTAGAAAACAAACTCGTGATTTTTTAGAAAAAAAAACTCGTGGTTTTCTAGAAAACAAACTAGCGGTTTTCTAGAAAACAAACTAGTGGTTTTCTAGAAAATATCTCGTAGTTTTCTAGAAAACAAACTCGTGGTTTTCCAGGAAAAAAATGATCAAGCAGAATGTTAAGACTACTGAATGATCCAGTCGACCGTTTAATGGTCCACATTGCATCTTTTTATGATAATGACAGCCCACTTTACGATCCTGACTGCCCACTTTATGATCCTGACTGCCTATTTAACGATCCGTTTTGCACATTTTATTGTTTGTGTTGCACTTTTTAAAAAAATCGTGTCATATCTATGATCTGTGTTACAGCTATTGTATGATCCGTGTTGTACTTTTTATAGTCCGTATTGATCAATTTAAAATCCAGACTGTAACCATATATAATCCGGTTTGAGTACATCATCGTCAGCTGAAAACTTTTGAATTGGATCAACTTAATCCCGATCGCTTAATCAGAATCTCCACTGTGGAGACTTTTAATTTTCTTTTAAATCCTCTCTTGGCTATCCCTGCAAATTCACGGCTTCTGATTGGCTATTTAATTTTGCATAAAATACATTAAATATATGATAACCAAGTAATTCATGAATCACTGAAGATAAAACTACAATTTCAATTTACGACGTTAAAGACTGGTGAATCTCTATATTTTCATGTTTGTATTAATGTCTTGTATTCAACAATGTTAAATATTGTAATTAATTTAGTGAAAGGAACCCCTTAGAGCTCTTTGGAGAAGATTCTAAAAATAAATGATACCATTTATAAGAGAGAAAAGTAGAAAAATAAACCGTCAAATCCCGGATTTACTGACATTTTATGTATTTTCTGACTTTTTCATATAAAACCTTAATCAGCTCATTGACAAATTTTCTTTTCACCTTTTCTTTTGAAAGCTAAGCGCTTTTATTAGTGTATAATATGCTTAAAAGAAAATTAAATATTGGTTTATCTTTGTCATGCATCAGCGGGCAACCACCATAATCCACAGTTTTTTAAACTCTGAACTTTGTTTTTGATTTCTTCTACATTTTACTCAGTTTTCGTTCCAAAGAGGGGATGAGAGGCATACGACACCCCATCCCCCAGTCNAGACCAATGTTATTACATTTATTGTTAAATATGTTTCTGTTTATAAACAAATTAATTGTTATCGTTAAAAGTAAAAACCGTCCAACTTAAAATTTTGTGAAATAAGGTTGAAGGATTGGACTCGTGCTTGTGCTGCAGTCGTAATGGTGTATATTAATACAATACAACTTGTATTAATACAATACAACTTATGTTAATACAATACAACTTATATTAATACAATTCAACTTATATTAATACAATACAACTTATATTAATACAATACAACTTATATTAATACAATACAACTTATATTAATACAAGACAACTTATATTTTAACTTTAGATTCTACGAAGCTTTCAAATAACACAAACAACCATATTTAAACAAAGAGAAGCTACACTTTGTTTAATTTTAACTTTTAATTTAAAAAACAAGTATTTTTTGTGAAAAGTCGTCTTCATTGTATTGATATAATTGCCGACCGTTGTATCATATAAGTTCTTTCCAACAATTCTCTTCCGATTATTATGTCCATTAAAAAACCTCTTCGTGTTGTGTATGTATTAAAACATATCTTTCTACCGAACCCTTAAAAAGACAGTGCACAATATTGAACGTGTTACCTACCTGACCGGGATGTCCTTTTAAATATCGTCTTTGATTTCCAACTGTTAAAAAAACCTGGATAAAAATTGTATTATGATCTTTTTGAAATACGGTCAATATTTAAAATAGACAAAAATATTAAGCTATAGAGGACGTGGGTCAGACTCTAATAAAAACGCATAAATAACTTCCAGTATATATATATTTCTTATAACTTATTACTAGAGGGTTCAGAACATGAGTCTATTTCAACATCACACGTGTTAGACTGAAGAGATGATATCAGTACTTATGCCCCGTATCCGTTCTATCTCATTCTGTTGAATCTTGTGGAACTAGTTTAACGCGGCCAGGCATCGTCTTCCACAAAGCACTAAATTTTGATTTATTTATTTCATTAAAATCTAAATTCTTTTTTTCTCTGACTTTCTTTGAAGTTTTAAAACGTTAATAGAATTCCAAGTTAATCTCTGTGCAGATCAAAAACCCTTTACTTATGTGATAAATGTTAAATTATAAATGTTAAATAAATATTAGATTGTTACAAATTAAATGTTTTAAAACGAGAAAAAGTGATTTATTTTACAAAAAATACATATTAAGCCAAAATGCGAAGTTTTTCAGATAGATTTTACTATTATTCTCAAACGTGACCACAAAAATTTGAGAAATGTAAAACATAAACATGTTTTATTTAAAAAAAGAAAGATTTATTGCACTTGTACGAATTTTGTTGTCAAGAAAATGTGCAAAACCCCAAGGAATCTGAAATATGTGGTTAATGTGAATTAAACAAACAGCATACATTTCTTAGCTGAAAACTTTAGAATGGTGGATATCAAGATTAATACTTAAACTCCTGGTTTTACTAAACCCTAGATTAATTTTTAAAAACGCATTCGATATCCAAGAAAGAAGTTAAAAATTTAAACAATCAGCGTGTCATGTTAAGGTACTCTTAGCTTGTGAAAAACTAGTTTTGATTTCTGGTGTTGATGGTGTCATATCAATTGAACTAAACATCGATTGAACGAACGTAAGTTTTGGATTAATGTTTATTAAGACTAACGTTCAAAATGACAATAGTCCTAAAATATGCTTTTTAATAATTTCACATTAACATGATTAAATTTATATTTGTTTAAATGCTCTAAAAGCCGGCTTGTGAACAGCTTACTTTAATTCAATTGGATATTAGTCCAATCGATATAGCATTGTATCTGTAATTGTTATCAAACATAACTTTTAACCTTTAGAAATATTTAAAAATAGGATTATAAGAAGAAAATCAAAAGTGTGTACATTGGATAATAAGATAAATTGATCGTGATTAAGGATCTCATTCTAAAGTTTTCAGCTCAGATGAAATTATAATGGTAAAAACGGTAATGTTTTTTCAATTTTTTCTATATTTTCTTTGCATAGTCAGTTATGGATTTGATATGAACCAAATAGTTTGTTAGTTATGAAAAACACAAAAGAAGAGAAAGAAATAGAGCAGGTAAAGGTATAATCTGTGTGACTCTACTAGAACTAGATTTTTCTTCGATCTGTTTCTCTAATTCTTCAGGAACATCCAGGTAAATTCTAGAAAAGACGACTTTTAATTTACATGCTTTATTGTTCAGTTAGAATTTTTTTTGCGGGGGATTTTTGGGTCTTCATGCCTCGTGTACTGCATTAACCCTTACAACGTGGTCCTATTGAAAAAAAAACACTACATACAGGGTCATCCGCAAAGGATGAGACTTCAGAGACGACTGTACAGAACTTATGCTGTCTTTTCCCAGAGATTTATGATTCCCATGGAACTGCAACCCTGTTTCAGTCTGTGCAAGATTATTAAATAAATAAGCCTTAAACATATTATTTACAGGGCGGACGCCTTAATTCAATCTTGAATTGTTAGATTTAAAGAGTTTGAGGTCGTCTTTACAGTTTCATCCTTTGAGGGTAACCCTGTACTATACAAGGCATTACAAACAGTGAATTAAATGAATAATATCTTCTCTAGTTCTTGTTACTTTTAACTTGTCAGCTAAATGCGATTTTCAAGGAATAAAAGGATCGATTTTACTTTATCAGGTAAACGGATTAACGAAGGTGGAAACTAATAAATACGTATTTGAATTAGCTTCGGTCATAGTTAAACTTCATCTGAGAGTAGACTACAGAAAAAGTTGAAACTATAAATACCTACTCTAGGACTGAACATAGTGAATTTGAGCTAGCTTGCAGTGAGTGCTTAACTACATACCGCCGATTAGAATACTTATCTGTACAAGGTTACTCACAAAAAATAAGACTGTCAAGACGACTCAGATCTTTTAAAATATGACGATTTGATGATTGATTTTGGGTTTCTGCATAAAATTTAATATTTTTACGGTTTGTTAAATGATAAAGCCGTTAATTTTGTAATAACGGTACCATTAACGGCTAGAGGCGTTAACGATTGTTGACAATTTTCCGTAAACGCCGTTAATGAAATTGAGATCGTTTACTAACGGTAATAACAAAAAAGCGGAAAATGCCTTTAACAGAACAAACGTTCCCTTCCGCTAACTGAAATTTTTATTTTTTAACGATTGGAACTAACCGTTAACGAAACTGCTAGAAAAAGTTGGAAGGTGTCCAGCCCTACGCACGACACTGGTCCCTGGGGAGTCTAATACCTGCTTCGTCCCACTTGGTTGATAACATCTACAAGAGCATCAACATCAACCTCATCTTCAGCACCACTCCAGATTGTTAGTGTTGGATCAGTTACATTCACAGCCTATACATTCAATATATATCAAATATATATCAAATACAAAACATGACTGAGAACCAGAAATCTTTGAAAATAAGAAGACGGTTTTTATAATTAAGTTAAAACGTTAAAATGTCCAATGAGCATGAGACAGAGAAATTGTGCAGTGTAAATTAGTTCAGTTCACTAAATTAGTTATTTAATAAGTGTCTACAGATTTTATTTGTTGCTTTGTAACACAACGAACACACTTAAATATTGCTATAATGTCTTTTTCATATTTCATTGTTTTCTGAGTATCACTGTATGCAATGGTATATATCAACTTTGTTATACAATTTTATTCATAAGCACAATGTTGGATACAATCTTTAGTATGATGTTTTAATATTAAGTAAGATGATCAGTTATTAAGTATATACAAAGTGATTAAGTAATAATAGTTAGAAAGATGGTTGATTTATATGAAGAAATGAAGGTTAGAAGTTGTCATTTACAATTTACAGTTATTTAGAGAAAGTAGTATCTACTACATGGAGAAAGTATTATCTACTACCTGGAGAAAGTATTATATACTACCTGGAGAAAGTATTATATACTTCTTGGAGAAAGTATTATCTGCTACCTAGAGAAAGTAGTATCTACTACCTGGAGAAAGTAGTAGCTACTACCTGGAGAAAGTAGTATCCACTACCTGTTGAAAGTATTATCTACTACCTGTTGAAAGTAGTATCTACTACCTGGAGAAAGTATTATCTACTACCTGGAAGAAAGTACTATCTACTACCTGGAGAAAGTATTATCTACTACCTGGAGAAAGTATTATCTACTACCTAGAGAAAGTAGTATCTACTACCTGGAGAAAGTATTATCTACTACGTGGAGAAAGTAGTATCTACTACCTGGAGAAAGAATTATCTACTACCTGGAGAAAGTAGTATCTACTACCTGGAGAAAGTATTATCTACTACCTGGAGAAAGTAGTATCTACTACCTGGAGAAAGTGTATCACCTACCTGGAGAAAGTATTGAATTATTTCCGGTTTAGATCTGGCAAGTAAACAGGCTCTCACTGGAAGTGTAACTGGAGCTGTAACCTAATACAGATGGGGTCTTTTCAAGGTTTATGGGTTTTTGGTCACAATAACCCTGAAACCCCCTAAATCTTGAAAAGACGACATATAGTGCTCGATCGGTATTGTAACTAGTCTATACGTTGAGTCTTCATAATCATTTTAGAATTTTTTTTAGATTTCAAAACTGAATAATGTTAAAATTTACTTTTACAAAACTTTTCAAAATCTTTATTCTAAAAAAAAAAATGGAAAATTGATTCAAAAACTATCCTTTTTTATCGGGTCTGTGTCATTCTTTGCAAATATCTTCAGTCAGGGTCAAAATTTAACATAGTGTAAGAAAAGCAAATATTTAGAAATTTGTTATTTTAAATTTGTTATTTCAAATTTGATATTTAAAATTTGTTATTTCAAATTTGATATTTCTAATCTGTTATTTCAAATTTGTTAGTTTAAATTTTTACCCTGAAAGAAAATAAAGGATTTCATAACGAATTAGATTAAATTTTTTTTTAAAGTTTGAAAATCTAATCATTTCCATTTGTTTTCCTGAACTGCAGTACGTAGATGGAAATGTGCAAATCACTTCTGCCGGGAAACCATAATTATAAATAATATGGTTTCACAATTATAATTATTTATTTATAAACATTTAAGAATCGTAAAATGTTTTAGAAATTGTTGGAGCTCCATACCTTCCTTGCTTCTATAAATTGAAGAGCCTCAAGAAAATTTGAAATATCATATTTTCCAGAAGAAGTAGTTGTAAACCCTAAACTCAAGGTTCCACTGGAAAAAAAGAAATAAAACCCTTGTTGGAACACTTTAGGTTCCACAAAAAAAAAAAATCTTTTTTGAACACTCAAGGTTACACTGAGAAAAAGAAATCTTGGTTAACCTGAAATCTTGTTGGAACACTGCAGGTTCCACTTGGAAAAATAAATCTTGGTAAACCTATCACAATTTTGTTGGAACAATTATGGTTTTACTGAAATAAACCAATTTTAATAAACTTATTATACTCAAAAAAAGAAAAAAAATCTTGTTAAACGACTCTAGGTTTTACAAAAACTTTTTTTTTGTAAACTCATCACTCAAAAAATAAATTTGTTGGGACTTAAGTTTTCACTAAAACAAGGTTTTACTAAAAAAAAATTTTGGTTAACTTATCACTCAAAAAATGGAAAAAAAACTTGTTTGGTCACTCAAGGTTTTACTAAAAAAAAACAATTTTGGTAAACTTATCACTAAAACTACGACAAAGAATCTTGTTGGACCACTCAATGTTGTACAATCAAAGACCTATATTTTTAAACCAGACTTGAAGCCAAACGAACTAAAAACTCCTCAAATTATAAATTTCTAGTCACCATAATTTTGCAACATGAAGGTTCAAACCTTCAATATTTCATCTTTGACTGTTTTACTTTGACACAACTTTTATATCAATATCTTAAGACAAGGCCATCAGATCAACTCCTAAAGTGTCTAAGCTATAGCCTATACCCCCTCACAAAGATATATTTAAGGATTAGAAAATTGAATGTGAGACAAAGCCTCAGTTCATTTCTGATTTGCAATAATATATTCATATGAATAAACAAAAAATTTTGTTTTATCATTTTTACTTAGGAAAATAATCTTTGGCGAGACGAATAAATTGTTCTTTATCTACAGGTTGCGAAGCGCCCTCCATGAAGAAGATATCTAGAAATAATATATTTATAATTTAATATAGATTTTAATACAATATATTTCGTTTAAATTCAACATTCACTAATAATGATTCCAAATAAAAATTAAAGAAAAAATGTAAAACTGTTTAAAACAATAATGATGAGAGTAACAATATTAATAATAATAATAATAATAATAATAATAATTTGCCTGCATTTATCCAAACAGGAAAATCAATGTCCTCACAAACTTCTCTAAAATTTGACAATATATATATTTATTTATTTATTTCCCTTCAAACTGTTTAAAGGGACTGCATGCCGATTCACAACGGTGCAATTAAAATTAGGAAAACATATCGTCGTTATTCTGTTTGAAAAGATATTAAATCTGTAAAGGATGCATGTCTTTACCACAAACTAAAATTTTCTAATCTTTATATCTTTGCAACCTGATGGTGTAAACCTATGGTATTTCAAATTAAGATCAATTGATCTGACTCGAATTCCAAAATAGAAATTTAGAGTTTGTGCCAAAACCAATATTTTTAAATAACGTTGTGCAGTCTCTTTAAAGGGAGAGTTCGCGAAAAATGAAAGGGGGTACAGGTTGTTATCGAACTGAATCCAATATTGATTGCTATATATAATTTAACCATACCCCCTTTCATTTTTCTCGAACATTCCCTTAAAGTCTAGAATTATCCAAATATTGTTCATTTCCTGAGAAGTTTAAGAGCCGGCTCCACTGCTTCAATAAACTTGAAATCAAGTTTAATTCCTTTTCTGACACTTCCTCCTCCTTCTAATCTGGCCTGGAACAAGATAAAAGCCTTTTTAAAACTGTCTTGGACAAAATTGCAGAAAAAAATAGATTAGTTTAATCTCAACACAAGAAAGAAGTAAGAATATATTGTACAATATTGCGAGTATATATGGTACAACATTGCGAGTATATATGGTACAATATTGCGAGTATATATGGTACAACATTGCGAGTATATATGGTACAATATTGCGAGTATATATGGTACAGCATTGCGAGTATATATGGTACAACATTGCGAGTATATATGGTACAATATTGCGAGTATATATGGTACAACATTGCGAGTATATCTGGTACAACATTGCGAGTATAAATGGTACAACATTGCGAGTATAAATGGTACAACATTGCGTTTATATATGGTACAACATTGCGAGTATATATGGTACAACATTGCGAGTATATATGGTACAACATTGCGAGTATATATGGTACAACATTGCGAGTAACTTATCAAGTTTTAATTTCTCTAGAGTAAGTGGACATATTGCATACAAAAGTTTCTTGAATTTTGTAAAATGCAAAGTTCAAGATTTTAGACTAAAATTAAATTAAATTGATGTACTTTGTACAATTAAAGGGCAGAGATTTACAGTTACACATAGGAGATTTACACTTAACCGACAGAGATTTAAAATACAAGGTTTACAATTACACGGCAGAGATTTACAATTACAAGCCAGAGATATACAATTACACTGCAGAGATTTACACTTACACGGCAGAGATTTACAATTACTCGGCAGAGATTTACAATTACACGGCAAAGTTATACAATTACACGGCAGAGATTTACAATTACACGCCAGAGATATACAATTACTGTATCCGATTCCGATTATCATAAACAAACAAATTCTAAGATCTAGTATAATACAATAAAGAACTGACGTATCAAATGTTATTGATTTGTATCACAGAAAATAGAAGGGGGGGGGGGGTAAGGATCACTCAAAATGAACCCCTAGGCTATTTTGGGACTGGTAAACCAGACGTCATAAAATTTGCATAGCTTACGTTGATAACTGTTTTTATAAAGTTTTGTAGAGTTAAGTCTGAAGACGTTGAGGGAGGATGAGCCATGATTATTACTCCGTTAGAACCTTAATAAGGATAGTAACCTCAAACTAAATACAAAATATGAAAAATTTGTTAGTTATTAGTTTTTTTTCAGGATCAGTTAGAAATATTTGATATAGTTGTTTTATGTTTCTAAATTTAAATAAAGTTTTGTAGTTTTTTTAGGATTGGGTTTTAGCAATTTTCCAATTAATTAACAAAATTTCAAATATTCTTTATACACATAAAGCTTAAAAAGTACCCCAAGGGTTTTAGGACATTTCATAGATAGCGAAGTTTTATATAACAAAACTATAGATAAGAGATTTCATAGAACGGACTTTTCATAGATTACAAATTTCAAAGATTGGATATTACCATAGATTAGACATTTTATAGATAGGACATATATATATATATTTTATAGATAGCCATTTGAATGAAATGATAATATGTAACATGACCCACCCACCCCACTGTGTTGTATACCTATACTAACATCGGCTTCAATCATCATAGTTCCGTCTTTTAGAGCATTATCTAATAGTTCTATAGAGTTGGTAGCGTGGGACCAAGTAACCTGGAACAATGAATATATAGTTCCATCTTATGAGAGCATTATCTAGTAGTTCCATAGAGTTGGTAGCGTGGAACCAAGTAACCTGGAACAATGAATATATAGTTCCATCCTATGAGAGCATTCACATTGTTTTATATCCTTCATCATAGTCATTCATTTGACATTATTCATGCTGCACAGAGACAATAAAGGAATTCACGGAATTAATAAACTGTTTAGTTAGAATGATGCCGATATCTTCGTTACATGTTAAACAGATAAGAGATTTGAAGGATACCGATGAAGATCGGACATGCCAACAGTAGTTTCACATTTCTAGTAGCCTCTGATCCAATCAGGGTTCACTCACGTGCTTAGTGAGTACTCAGGAGATGTTAGGTACTTCACAACGGATTTCTCCCAAGTGGCAACTTCCCAAATGGGCAATTTCCCAATTCTGTCCTAGCCGCAGCGCCCCAAACTGTTCTAGTCGCGACACTTGGTTCCCTAGCATATCCTAGCCGCAGTGCTCGGCCCCCCATTGCAGCCTGAGGCGCCTCAGAGGGCCTAACCTAACCTTTGGAAAGTTGGAAGATAATTTGTCACTTGGGAAGTCGCCCTCGGGAAAATGCCTTTGGGAAAGTACCTAGCACCAATCTGGACCAATAGAATAGCAACGGCGGCAAGATATATCTATTTATCTAAGATTGATATGTAAATTAGAGGCAAAGACTAAAGATTTTATTTACTTATATCCGAACTACGGTACGTGATGCTACTCTTTAAATGTAGCGGAGGCCTTGTATTCACGTCTACATACAGTCCCTTTAATAGATAATTGTTTACTAGAGGGTACTTTGATGATTTGATTATCAATTATTTTTTTATTTGAAAAGAATTTATTCTTTGCAACAAACTCCAATTTATTCTTATTACCATGTCTTTGAAACCTCATGGTGTAAATCTTTGATATTTTAAATTTAGATTATTTGATCTCACAGAATACACAGTTTAAAGTATGTAAGGTCTACGACATTGGGTTGCAAAGATATAAAGAATAGAAAATCAATGTTTGTGGCAAATTGACTCAGTTCATTTCTTTAAAGATTATTTTTTTGGTTAACTAAACGTACCTGCATTAGATTTTCATCTAGTCCTTCCCAGAAGTCTTTCACATTTACCCTGTCACAAATGTCAACCACTGTAAAGTAAACGTATGTTAAGAGATTTATTTTGTTAATTTATAGACTTCACTCATTGAAGAACTATGCTAGCCATAAATTTAGCTTGTCTGTCTGTCTGTTTATTTGTTTCCCATAAACGTTAAAACAGCTGAACCGATTGAACCCAAATTTTGTGTTGGATCTCACATGAACGAAAGGTTTATGAATGATCAAATTTTATAAATTTGTATTTCAAGTTTTTTATTTTTGTAAAATTTTGAAAATTCGCGAACAATTATAATAAAATCCGCAAACTTTTTTTGTTTTTGTTTTATACCGTACAAAGAAAAGATGCTCACACATAAAGCCACAATTTTAAGTTGAAATAGAAGATGGGCGCGAAGCGCCCTAAAAGCCTAGTACTTTATATGAACCTTCATAATTGTTTATTCTTAGTAGTTAAATCTATATAAAAAGCTCTTCGCTCATACAATGTTAAAACTACTTAAAATTATCCTTCAAGCAATGAAACAATTGTTAATGTATATATGTATGCTGCTCTCAACTAATTTTATTTTCTGCGCGAGGGGGCCATGTTGCAATGTAATATTACACATTAATATATTAATTAATATTGATTTACAAGACTGTATCGACTTTAAAGTGTCGCAACTCCTTGACCTTTGATTGTACCTCGCTAAATCTTTTATACTTTTTTGTAGCCCTAGACATGCGCATCTTTTCTTATAAAGCACTGGTTTTAGCTTTAGTTTTAAAGACGTAATTAGCAAATCTCTCATAATCATAATCTCTCAGAGCTTGCAACGTTTAGATAACTGTGAGAGATGCCTAATCCATCAATACTACCTAACCTACCCTTTATTGATGTTCCAGAAAGTATTGATATTAACAGTAGGCTGAGAACTATAAACATGATTACTCCTGTGTGTTATAAGCAGAAACTGGAAACTATATCTAGCTTTATCTCTATATTGATACAGATGCATCAGTTTTACAAACAGATACTATTTATTTATTTTAAACATTGATCTTATCTTTCGTATCTGATTTACTATATTTTATTATTTTTAATGATTTAACTTTTTGCTTATTTGATTAATTAAATTCAATAAACGTTTGCGCCAAAAAGAATACAATGTATTGTCGTCTTGAAAAATGTGATGTCTGAACAGTAAATCTGATTATAATCATAAGCGAATTCATACATGCTTACTACTCTTAACTAAATGAATATAAGTTTCGTCAATAAGTTTTGCTCATTTTAGTCAACCCTTCTTATATTTGACCGTTGTCACGTAGTAAAATGTTTTCCATCCTTTAATTATTATTGTTAAAGGGATAACAAAATTAAGTTTTTGCCACAAACTTAAATTTTCTTAGGCCTTTTCCTTTGCAATCTGAATGTGTAAACTTTTGTCATTTCAAGCTAAGATTATTTGATAGAAAATTCATAGTTTTCTATATATCTAAGGAGACCAATTCAATGAAATTGAGCCAGAGTCCATGTTCAATGAATTTGAATCCGGTTTCAATTGAGCGCAGGCTAAAATCTTGAAACATTTAATACAATTTTAAGTGGAACCAACTATATTTAAGCCGCCTCTCGATTGAAATACTTAATATATGTGGTTCTACAGTGTAGATATCCAAAGACCAATCCTAAATCACCTCGTCTAAAATCAGAGTTTGTGGCAAAAACTGAATTTCTTTTACCTGTAATCGTGGGATCCATGGCTGACGTATTACTAGTGTACTTTGATTTGCCCCTGTAAAATAGTATTGTGCTAGTACTGTACTTAAACAGTTGCTTTCTTTCACTGATTATAAAAGCAATGTATCCATTGTTAGCCAAAACTGAGTATTTGAACTGTCCTCGGTAATGGAATTGAGTCTTTAACACAAACTTTGATTTTTCTAAATCCATATACTTGCATCTCAATAAACCTTAGATATTTCAAGCTATGAATTCTATAAGATCAAATATTTTAAGTTTGAAATATCAAATGTTTACACTATCCGGTTGCAAAAATATAGTAAGCATTAGAAAATTTGAGTTTGTGGCAAAGATTATAATTCATTTCTGTATATAAAACATAACTTTTAGTTTCTTCTAAAAGTGCATGATAAAGAATATAAATATTGATTTAAACAGCTGTGTTTTGTTTATTTGGCGAAACTAAAAATTTCCCTGTAGTTTTATTTGGAAAAAGAGAAAGCTTTAGTCAGCTGATAAATGATTCTCAATAGATCTTCTCAATAGATCTTCTCAATATATTTTCTCAATAGATCTTCTCAATAGATCTTCTCAATAAGAGGAGTAATGATTGAAACCGTGAATGATTTAAATCTTCTGTACTATTTATCTCAGTTTTACATGACCTTTTTACAGAAATATACCTGTAACAAATCTAGACGCTACTTCTCTAGCGATTACTTAACTCAAAGTCTAATGAGATTCTCTCTAACTAAATCTCTAGCCAAAACTCAAGGCTCTGTATACGTCCGTTCTGATCAACTAATGATATTCAACTACTTTATTTATAAACAGGTAAAATGAATTGACCGGGCTAGCCCGGCTGGGTCAACATACAAATAGTTAAGATAATAATATTAGGGAATATATGTTATGGTTAGAAAGCAGAAAATTATAAAATGTTGAAAAGTAGTAAATAAAAGAAATACATGATCTCGGAAAACGATATCACTGCCGTTAAAACCATAATGGGTCTCCCATGGTTCTCATGATGTGGGCCGTGGCTCCTAAGGTTTCTCCGATGGCTCTCTCATGACAAACATTAATTTCCAAGAATCCAACAATGTCTGACCATGAAATAAATATTTAATCTATGCTCTGAATTTCTACCATGAGAAGAAAGTATATAATTCATTTTGCCAACAAAACCATCACAAGTTTCTAGAAACTGCATACAATTTTTTTTTTTTTTTGGGGGGGGGTCAAAATTTATTTTTCTTTCGAATTGAAAAAAATGATGAATCAATTTTCATATTAAAATTTATGGTTGAAAAATCACAGTTTTTATTTTCAATAAAACTTCAAAAAAAATACGATTGAGGTGAAAGGAAGGCGCAGTTCAAAAAAATAAACAGAAATCATAATTTTTCGCTAAAATCGTATGATCACTGAAATGGAACTGTATATACAGGAGTCTCAAAATAACGGGGAATAAGGGTCTACAGACTCCTTTGTAATCGAATTTTCAAATTTGAGACCATTTTTAAAATCTACGTACAAATTTCGATTCAAAGAACCTATTTTAGGCTTTAAAATCCAAAAATGACAATTTTATAGGTCCCTAAAATTTCCAACTGGAGTGAGTAAATTCGATAAAAAATAAAGACAATCTCCGTTTGCACAATTTTGCACAAGGGTCTGCAGACTGGTTTGTAATCGGATTTTTTTAATATGAAACCATTTTTGAGATCTACGTACAGTTTCCGATTCAATTAGATTTATTTTAGGCTCGTAGATCTAAAAATAAAAATGCTACAATTACATCCCAAAGCCTCATTCACTTTACGAACTTGAGGTCAAAATCAGGAGAGAAATAGCTGCTCTGCAGGACCCTGCTGTCTCCCAAAAGGCTATTTTTGAAGTTAAATCAAGGACCCAGATGTGTCTTGTTGTTTATGGTGGACATCTTGAATAAGATTGTGATAAATTGTAAACTGAAATGTAATTAACTGTAACCTAACATGTAATACAAGATTGTGCAAATTGTGAGATTATCTTTAACTTATTACCAGCTGCAGTTGGAAACTTTGGGAGTCTATTAATTAAATTTTTAGATCTACAAGCCTAAACTAGGACTCATTGAATTGAAAACTGTACGTGGATATCAAAAATTTTATTCAATTGCAGCTTAACCAAAAATCAAACGCTCTTTTGATTTAGAATTAGTAAATCAATAAATAAACTTTAAATAATGTTTAGGAGTAAAGATGAATTAGTAAATGAAAAAATTAACTTTGAATAGGGTTTAGGAGTAAAGATCAATTATGTTAATGAATACATCAGCGCTGTGTTTAGAAGTAAAGATGAATTAGTAAATGAATAAATCAACTTTGAAAAGTGTTTAGGAGTAAAGATGAATTAGTGAATTAATAAATTAATAACTTTGAATAGTGTTTAGGAGTAAAGATAAATTAGTAAATTAATAAATTAACTTTTAATAGGTTTTAGGAGTAAAGATGAATTAATAAATGAATACATCAGCGCTGTGCAGTGTTTAGGAGTAAAGATGAATTAGTAAATGTATATTGCTTAAATATTCACATTTAGGGATATAAATATGTAGAGAAATATATATATTTGATAGATAGATAAATATATTTGATAGATAGATAGATATCGGAGGAGGTAGTGTAAAGGTAGCTCGGAGACTAGAGACTAGAGGACGGACAGTATTCAGCCTTTCTCCGGGTAGTAGTTATAGTACTGTATACTGTATACAACTCAGTGTAATCAGGAAAGGGTGGAGAAGGGAGAGAAGGAAAGGGGATTAGAGGCTTATTCTTATCTCTTTGCTAATAAGCAACTTTTGCAACTGCGAAAATAAATCAAACCAAAAATTCTAATGTTTAAAGTGATTTCCTGACACGATTGATTTGATATTATTTAAATTCAATTGTCCGATAGTTTTGAGACCAGATAATTCTCCTGTAGATTATATAATCTTTAACTATGCCCGGTTTAAACTAATTCGAAACAATACTTAAGGGATTTAATTGTTCTGGAAGTCCATTGAATAAGGTTTTCCGTGTGATGGATTCTATGGTTAAACTTTGCCGATATTGGTTCGCTCAAATTCTATTTAAATTGATATTGATGTAATTGTGATTTATTGTTGTTATTGTGATTCTCATTTTTTTCTATTTTTGATGGGCTTTACGTCACATTAAACTATAGACAACAGGAGACGGTCACATTTTTGTGATATTGCATTTACGACTTTGGAGCCTCGTAGCTCATGTAGTTGTCATTTTTCGCCAAGGTATGAGGAAGCAAAATTTATTCAGTTACATATTTGAAATTCAAAACATTTTTCTATAGCTCTTCCATGAGAGAGGAGATATGGTTGAAAAAAAACAACCTATGACGTCGCGTAAGTTAAAAATAAAAAGTGTAAATATTTCAATACAAGATTAGAACTGAACAAAATTCATTGGTTTTAACAAATTTAATTTACTTTTTAAAGATAATTAATTATACATTTAACGACAATAATTCATCGATATGAAAACAAGTAATCAGGTGTGAAAGTTCCTAAATTAAGAAATGAAAGCGAATTAATTTTACAAAGATTTCTAACTTCAAATTCACGAAACAACCTTTTTTTACAAACAACTATGTTATTTAATGTAAACCCCAACACAACATAAAGCTTTATTTTCATCTATAGTACGACATTTTTTATTTAGTAGCACTTAATTAAATTCAGAACGATATGGAAATCTTTATGTAGTTTTCTAGGATATAGGATAATAAAGTGATTTATTTTATGATAGCATCTATTTATAATCCTTGATAAAAGACAATTGGTTTGGGAGTAATAACATGTTATAGGCCACACTAAAAGGAATAGATTTTCTACAGGGCTTGTCAAGAATTATATCTAAAATAGACAAATCAGATGTTGCCTGCTAGTTCTTCAGAAAGCTTTAATCCGCAACTTTTGTGGCTCAACGGATCCCTTTTCGGAACCATAAAGGTTCCATAAACGTTGAGAAACTAAAAATAATCTGCTATTGGTAAATTATATCGATAGAATACGAGTCGTCAGCACATTTAGTACATTTAGTACACTTTTCAAATTCAAAGTTTCCGCTGCGTTTATCAAGTTAACCCTGGGGGGGGGGGGGTCTGAATCTACGCGTCCCGCGAGTACAGCAGGAGAACATTAGATTTTTGTGATATTTCTGGTACAGCTTTGTGACCTCGTGGTTACTCTAGTTTTTGATTTGACTAGGACGTAGTAGTAGTTCGTAAATTAATTCGGTTGCACATTTAAATTTAAAACTTTTTTGTTCTTCTCAATAGATCTTCTCAATAGATCTTCTCAATAGATCTTCTTAATATATCATCTCAATACATCTTCTCAATTTATCTATTCAATAGATCTTCTCAATAGATCTTCTCAATAGATCTTCTCAATAAATCTTCTCTATAAATCTTCTCAATAGATCGTCACAATAGATCGTCTCAATAGATCTTCTCAATAGATCTTCTCAATAGATCTTCTCAATATATCATCTCAATAGATCTTCTCAATAAATCTTCTCAATATATCATCTCATTAGATCTTCTCAATTTATCTTTTCAATAGATCTTCTCAATAAATCTTCTTAATAGATCTTCTCAATAGATCGTCTCAATAGATCTTCTCAATAGATCTTCTCAATAGATTTTCTCAATACATCATCTCAATAGATCTTCTCAATTTATCTTCTCAATAGATCTTCTCAATAGATCTTCTCAATAGATCTTCTCAATATATCATCTCAATAGATCTTCTCAATTTATCTTTTCAATAGATCTTCTCAATAGATCTTCTCAATAGGTCTTCTCAATTGATCTTCTCAATAGATCTTCTCAATATATCATCTCAATAGATCTTCTCAATAGATCTTCTCAATAGATCTTCTCAATAGATCTTCTCAATAGTCTCAATAGATCTTCTTAATAGATCTTCTCAATAGATCTTCTCAATAAATTTTTTCTATAAATCCTCTCAATATATCGTCTCAATAGATCTTCTCAATAGATGTTCTCAATAGATCTTCTCAATAGATCTTCTCAAAAGATCTTCTCAATAGATCTTCTCAATAGATCTTCTCCATAG